CCTCAATGAAACGAAGGGACCTTATCCAAGATTTCGGTCCTGGCCTTGGCACTTGTTTTGTTACTGGTACATCCCCATGAAAAGGCAGGACAAAAGTTATGAAGAAAAGAAAATTTTACTTGTGCATAACTTAAAAAGTTCTTAAACTAATTTCTCGGCGCTATAGGCCAGCACGACCCTTGGCCTCTTCAGTTATTTTTCTCCAGTTTTCTCTGTCCTGTGCTATTCTGTTTCTCGGTCTTCCAATATTTGCCTCTGTACCCGTCCAATCTCCATTCTGACCACATGTTCTGCCAATCTCAGCCTACTTGCCTTGATATAGTTAGTAATGTTTTGATTCTTTAATATAGCTTCGATTTCTTTGTTACTTTTGATTTTCCACACACCATTAACACCTGTAGGTAGCATCGAAAATCCTGCGTATTTTACGGCAATCCTCTTGCGATAAACACCAGGTTTCCGCTTCGCAGGTAACTATTGGTGTAATATGCGTTTTATATAGCTTTAATTTTGTGACTTTTGACAACAATGTAGATTTGAGAAGTTTTAGGTTTTGCATAGTGAGGTCTATTACTAGCCATTATTCTACTCTCTATTTCTCTGCTGATTACATTTTTATTATTTAAGGCAGAAACGAGATACATGAATGTGGGTACATTTTGGAATTTAAAATTCTTTATTCTGATTTCACTGCAGGATCTTCAACTTGATTCCGAGGACAGTTTCAGGTATTTAGTTTTGTTTTCATTGACCACAAGTCCTACTTTGTTGCCATTTTCGTTTATTATCTCAAATGCCTCTTTAAGTGCCTTTTCACTTCGCGCAGCTATCATCAATTTATTTCCGATAACAACTTTTGATAATGGTGACGTATGGAGAGAGGAAAAGATGTCGGATAACTGGAAGATTGGATTAATATGTCCTATTCTTCAAAAAGTTATTATATATGATAAATAATTTGTCATTTATGAAATTATGTCATTTATGAAATTATGTCATAATTTGTCATTTATGAAACATCTTCACAGGGGTGCCCAGAGTGGAGTTTCATGGCGCAAGTTGCGCCATCAAGCTTTTTGAGGGAGGTACATTTAGACGCTATTTTTAATTTTTGAGGGAGGCATGTTTCGTCGGGGTTATGAATTTTTGAAGTGAAACCAAAGAACAAGAGGAAAAACACGGACCAGACCACAGCAAATATATAGGACCTATGTATGATTTTTGCTTGAACTGTTTTTTATAAGAGGAAAGAAATAAAATATCTTGAGAGGGGAATTTCTTGAGATGGGCACCCTTGCATCTTCACAAAACTAACAAATTTTCACCAGTTAAAACTTTGTCAGATCAGTATTTCTAAACAGAATGCAGAAAGAGTTACTTTCTTGAGTATTTGAGACAATGAAGAAACATCAGAAATACACGATAAAATAAATTCATTATAGCTAAAAATATCAATCACAACATGGCCAAACCGTGAGGACGTTTTTCTTTGATGAGTTGAAATTTAAAAAAAAAAAAAGCCTTAAACAAAATTATAATACATTGTACTTATAATGAAAAACTATATTCATGTTTATTAACAAAATTAATATAACAGGAATTCATTTACCGACAAGGAAGAGATCCTGAACAGATGGAAACAACATTTTCAGGAACAATTCTCCGAAAATCCAGGAATTCGTCAATGCCAAGAACGAGAGCACTCTACTTTAGAAAGCTTAGAGGTAATAGAAGAAGAAGACACAGAAGACGCAATCCAGACTCTAAAAGCAGAAAAGGCTCCGGGGAGGGATGGTATCGCCCCCAGAATGTCTGAAATATGGTGGAAATGAACTCTTTAAAGTCCTTCAAAATCTCTTTCAGGAAGTATATGATAGAAAGAAAATTCCCAAGGATTGGGAATATAGCATAAACCTTCCAATTCATAAAAAAGGCAATTCAACGGACTGCAATAACTATAGACCCATCAGTCTGCTCTCTATGGTCTATAAATAGGAAGGAGGCTCTGGCGGATTGTGGAGGGACAGCTTGAAGCTGAACAGGATGGTTTCCGTCCTGGCCGGCAGACTCAGGACCATATCTTTGTTCTTAGGACCATCGCTGAAAAGGCCTGGGATAGAAACAAAAACCTGTACCTGGCATTTCTTGATCTAAGGGCAGCGTTTGACTCAGTACCAAGGAAAGAAATTTGGAACGCATTGGTTGCCAAGGGCGTGCCTGGAGATTTGATTGAGGCCTTGAAATCAACCTATCAGGGAGCCACTGGAGTGGTAAGGATAAATGGCACAGAATCAGAACCTTTCCAATTGAGAGAAGAATCAGACAGGGAGATAGTTTAAGCCCCCTCCTGTTTATAAACTTTATGGATGAGATCCATAAAATCTACAAGGACTGCATGGACTACAATTGGAAACTGGAATTTGAGAACTGTCCTCGTTCAGAGTTTTTTATATACAGATGACATTGTGCTCATCGCCGATTCTAAGATGAAACTATAGCAAGCACTGGTAGAATGGGAAGAAGAGCTGCTGAGAAATGGTATGCGAATAAATGCCTCCAAAAGCAAAGTGCTGATTATGACGAGAGAATAAGAGGAAGACGTCAAACAGGTTTGCAACGGAGAAATTCTTGAGGTAGTAAAGGAATACACCTACTTAGGTACCATAATTAGTAACTCTGGTAAGATAGATGCTGAAATTTCGTATAGAATATAAAAGGCGAATCAAGTATATCACCAGATCACTAGCAGTATCCTCAGCTGCTGTGAAGTATATAAAAATAACAAGATGCACGTCTATAAGTCTGTATGCCTTCCTATTCTCACCTACGGCGGAAAAAGCTGGACTATGTTGGACAAACATCATAGTCGCATAACAGCAGCGGAAATGCGGTTCCTACGTAGATCGGTGGGTAAAACTAGGAGGGATCGCATTAGAAATGAAACTATCAGAGAACAGCTGGAAGCGCCTGAACTCAAAACCACCTTGGAGAACAGGCAATCAAGGTGGTTTGGGCTTGTCTGCCGTATGAACGAGGACATGGATCCTATAAAGATATTAGAGGCTCGAGTCACAGGGAAGAGGCCACGAGGAAGTCCCAGAGTTTCATATCAGAAGTTCATGCAAAGGATCGGAGGTAGAAGAGGCTAATCCTTCAACCAAATGAAGCGGTTAAGCAGAGACCGGGAAGAGTGGCTGCGCTGGATAGAAGCTCCTCGACGCTAGAAATGGCACTGTGAGGAAGACAAAGAAGAAGAAAAATAATTCATTTATAAAACGTAACACGATAATATCATTTAAAAGTATGATAAGATATTGCAAAACACTTATTATAAATTAAAAATTAATCATTCATTTATTAACTAATTAACTCATGTAATTTCCACATTTATATTTTTAATCAAAAATAAAGAAAGTAGAGTAACCGCTATTGACACATTTTATAAGGGGGCGTCACTTTTTATATTTTCAAAAATGACATGCGATGGTTTTTTTTTAATTGAAAGTGATTAATAATTCTTCTTTATAATAATTGGATCTGGAAATCATCCATTTCCCATGTCAGTCAATTTATTTTGTAGTGAAGGACAAAAAAAAACAACTGAAAAGCATCTATTCGGCACTATAATCTCCCACTCTCTCCCTTGGCCCAAGAAAAAAAAAACAGTGTAGCCGGAAAGGCGAGGTAGGGGGAGAGTATATTAAAAAAAACTGAAAAAGACAGTAAGGAGTTTGCGGAAGTTGTGAATCGCGAACTAAATAAAGGGAGGTTATACTGTGAACACATTATTATTCTTCCGCTTATCTCGGAATCCCATTTATACCGGGAATTTGGAGCCCATCTTAGTCCACTGGAGAAGGTGAAGTGATATTCCTACAATGGAACCTAAAATTCATATTGTCATAATAATGTGATTTTCTCCTTGAGTAGTTCTTTAGTCCGTGATTAGTTCTTTAGTGTAAGATTTGAGGTAAATATCTTCTTTTGAAGGTTGTTTTCTTAACAATGGTAAATAATATTTTTTCGTACCCTTCAAAAGCTAAATGTATCTTGGGAATGGTGGTAATATCACTCTAATCAAATTCATGAACACTTCTGGAAATCATATCAAAATCACATTTTGAGAAATTACAAATTATCTTTGACTCTATCACAGGAAAAGGATCGTCATTGATATCTTTCATTCTTAAACTACAATGACGTCATAACCTTTCGTCTCTCCTCCCCAAAAAAATGTCTTGAGCTGTTTTATATTATGTAATATTTTAATTGTATTTCATTCAAAATTCAGTTGCTTTATTAATTTGCTAAAATTAATTATTCTCATATATTTTGTAATTTTTTTTTTCAATTCCCTACAAGTGGAGGGTCCTCTCCTCCAGGAATTTTGATATGAAGCCCCTCAGTTGTCCTGTACTAAGGCTGTCACTTTTTCAGAGGATGTAGAATATTCATCATTGAACCAACCAGAGGAGGGAATTATCAAAGCAATCAATTTCCCCAATTGTACTGACAGTGTTTAATGCCTTCTTTGTCTTACTTCATTTATATAACTCTTGGTTATAGTGAGTTTTTAAGTACTTAAAATTCTTAGATATTTTATTCGCACTGACTATAAATCGGGTGAAAAATTCATTATTTTTGGAATTTTTTTATCAGTACTCTTGATGTCCTTCAATGCAAGAGCCAACTCTTAACATTTTGATTAGTTTTATTAAAAATCCAGAAAAATGTTTCTGAGATACATCCAATGTCCAATGATGGATTATCTACATTATGTATCCTGGTTTGTTTATACCTTGAAGACAAATAAAAAAAAAGTTAATTATTAGCCAAAATTCTCAATTTAATTTTTATGAATAGTTTTAGTTTTTATTATAATAAAAGTTATTATAGTTATTTTGATTAGGTAATAATTGACTACATAAAAAATGATAAAACAAACGCTTTGAGTTTACAATAATTTTATGTTAAATCATTAATATTTATTATTTTTCTAGGTTAATGATAATGGACTGTTATCATTTCAAACTGATATACCTAAATTCTTCAATGAGCCATTTCCACTAGAATATCCTGTAATTGCACCATTCTATTCTAATGTGGATAACAGAGGTGCAGGCACCATCTACTTCAGGGAGACACGAGAACAAGAAGTTTTAAATATCATTGCAAAAAAAATAGCAGATCTATATCCTACACAATATGGATTTAGACCACTTGCTGCATTCATAGTCACTTGGAATAGAGTTGGCTATTATAACAGTAAGAGTGATAAGGTAATAGAAAAGAAAAATCTGTAAAATAGAACATCTCTTAAGCACTTAGTCTTGTTTTATATTTATGCTATATGTATTGATTTATGTTTGAATTATAATAAATTAGAGTTGATATAGTCAAAGGTTTTGAGTCAGTTTAAGATACGGGAATATCATTAAAAGTAATGCTAATAGAGGATCTTGCTAGAATTAATGATCAATGGAGTTATTTTATGGTACAATAGTGATTGTTGGTAAGCCTTTAATTGTTTATTCTCAAATTATTTGTGTTTAATCATTTGATTGTTTATTCTAAAATAGGTATTTTTATTATTAATCACACTGCCTGGGGTGCCCGTAAGGGGGTTTCATGTTCATGCAAGTTGTGCCACCACAATTTTTGAGGGGGGCACATTTCAATGGAGTTATGAATTTTTGGATGGTATAGTTTCAAATGAAAAGACAAAGATGTTTTAATTTTGCCTCGAGATCCCCACAGATGCCCCCATATACCGTACAGCAATAGTCAAAGTGGTGAAAAATTAAGGAAGTTACTAGGAGCCTACAGATTTCAAGTGGAAATAGGTGACGGGAGTAATTTAGACGTTTTAAGGTGGAAATGGTACAGCGGGAGATGTTGGATATATGATTTTTGCAGGAAAGCGTTTGATCAAAGATCATTCCAAGGTTTTTGATGGGATTATCATGTAGGAACAGAGTTGGAATATTAGGAACAGTTTTAAGGAGTTGATTGGTGCCTATTAAGATTGCCTTTGTCTTTTCTGCATTCAAATTCAACTTGTTAGCTCTCGACCAGTCACAAATCCTATCCAAGTCTTCTTGAAGTTTTTCTGTGGCTGATAATAGGTCAGTGGATGGGAAAGACAGGTATATTTGCTATATATTTACTATATTATATACTATATTATATTTACTATATTATATAATATAGTAGTTCTTATGCTACCTGAAATGGTAGATCATTGCTGTTGATTTATTAAAGAGGTTTGGTGATACCATGCGACTTGACTGACTAATATATTTTAATGTTTTAATCTCACTCTATTTACTTGTATTATTACTTTTCATTACCTTGTTTATGTACTATCGAAAAGTTGAATGGTAACCAAATTTACTAGTAAGCATAAGCTCTCTCCTAACTGGCTGCATGTTCCATCTTTCAATCCTATTCCTTCAAATTCCCCTATCTTATATGACACAATTTTTCACTTGCTACTTCTTTGTTGTTGGCACTCCACCTGACTGTGATTAGGGTCCCGGATCTTACATTTTTCTATCACTGATATACATACCTTTCTGATGATGTATGTTGATGAGGGTGCTATTATGTATTATGTGGGAACTATTCATCTAGTGATGAAGCTGAATTTTCTTGATTGATAGTTATAGCAGATTACTGTATATTCAATTAATTGATTTGCAAACACTTGACTTCTACCCTTTTCTGCAGATTCTTTTCACCAGTGTTGTTTACTAATAAAATAAATGATTAATTTTATTTATAATTATTATAAATAAATACATTTTTTTATAATCATTATTTTAATTATTTAGAATAGAATAGAATAGAAAATTAAACTTTATTCTGAGACTAAGTCCCTTTAGAATAACAATGATGAATTAATACAAAGTAAAGTACAAATCTGGCCAAAAACTAACTTATAAAAATTTTAATATTATATACATTATTTAAAAAGTATGTAACCAGTGAAAAATAAAAAATAAAATATATATACAAATGAACATAAAATCTTCTTAAAATTACTTAATTGTGATGAAAAAAAAAAAAGAAGAGAAATTACATATTTATATATACATAACTACACAATTTATAAACAATAGGCTATCTAATAGAAAACTAACTTAATACAAAATGTAATAATATCTACAGTGGTTTATATAATAATATGCTAAGATACTAAGATAAAATAAAATAATACTAAGATAAAATAAAATCTTAGGATACTTGTGGTGTAATGGAAAAAAAAAAAAAATAAGTAAAATAAATAAAAGGAACTATTTATACGTACATTCTCATATTGGCACACATAAAGACAAAAATATAAAATATAAGCATATATACCCGAAAGAAAAAGCACAACCTAAGGAGAAGAGAAAAATACATAAATAGTAAAAATAATAGTCAAACTAGATGACAAAGATCATTGCTGTTTTATGTTAAAACTTTAACAGTAGGCACCACTATTTACTTCACGCAAATTCAGTTCATAAAATGAAATTTATGGTGGTAAATCTTCTATTTGGGATGTAAGGAGATATTGGAAAAGGAGGTATTTGAAAGTTGACAGGGAAGAGGCATGACGGATGTTATGTGGCAAAGAATTCCAGTAGTAGATGGAACGGGCTAAGAAGGAACGTTCATAGGTTTTTGTCCTGTGGAATGGAATATAGAGGTCAGAAACACGGGATCTCATTTTTATTGAGTGGACTAAGGGTTTAGGCTGGAGGAGACAACAGATATAGGAAGGGTGCTGGGAGTTGATCGTTTGGTATAAGAAATTTCCAAGGAAGTATAGGCGGCGGGAAGAGGGGAAGAGCCACCTTGACTCAGCATATAGGTGGGGCACATGAGACCATCCCGAAGTGCCGAAGACGAATCTTAAAAAACAGTTCATGATTCTCTTCAGTCTGTCCTCAAGCTCCAACGAGAGGCCACCGTATACCACACAGCCGTAGTCAAAGTAGGGGAAAATCAATGAGGAAACGAGGAGCCTGCGGATAGGTTGTGGGAGATGCTGACGAGAACGATGAAATAATTTAAGAGTACCAATTGACCTTCTGGAGATTTGAGCAATATGGGGTTTCCATGATAGGTTTTGATCAATGGTAATTCCTAAGTTTTTTACAGAGGAGGTGAAGGATATTGGTTGGTCATTAATATTCAAGGAAGGATGGGTGGAAATGGATCTAAGGAGGGAGTTGGAACCTATAAGAATGGCCTGAGTTTTCGTTGCATTCAACTTTAATTTATTCAAGCTTGCCCAGGCACTTATCCTATCTAGGTCTCTCTGAATATTCGTAAACGCTTCTAATAACTCAGTGGGCGGAAAGGAAAAATAAATTTGGGAGTCATCAGCATATAGATGGTATGAACAATGGTGGATTGAACTAGGAAGGTCATTGATGTAAGAATTAAAAAGGATAGGAGAAATGCTTGAACCCTGGGCTACTCCATGAGACAAAGAGAGGAAAGAAGATAAGGGTTGATTTATTATAATCAATAAAATAATTCATTTTAATTATGCTATTATTAAAATGTTTCTTTTTTAGGTAAACACTTTTCAGGCAGTTGTTTCTTCAGATGGAAGTGAAAGTTTTGTTGAATTTATATATCCCGAAAATGGAATCACTTGGCTCAGAGCTGAATCAATTCAATCTTCTGTGCCTGATGCTAGAGGTCAGGTAGGGGTATCTTCTCCAGGAGGTAAACTTGCTGTAATAAAAGGATCTGGAACAGACTGGTTATACAATTTACCAAGGTATTTTTATAGATATAGCTTTTATTCTTTATCTTAACATGTTCACTGCTGATTACAGGATAACACATAGTTTAAGTCACAGAAGAAAATCCTGAAAGGACATCTATACATATCCACATAATAATAGAGATCCCTGGGAAAGTAGTCAGCATTCAGCAAATGATAACTTGAAATTAGAACCTTTGAAATATGGATTCATATGTTTAAATTAAAGTATAAAATTATGCATGAATACAAAATTAATTACTATTAATGACATTACACAAATACTTGATCAATCTGCTCTCTTTTCCTTTTTTTTGTATGTAAAGTTTCTTTATTAAAAAACTTTTAATGATTTTTAATGTAAATTTTTCTTTTAAAAATATGTTTACTTTATTAATGTGTAATTTTTTTTTTATTTACTGTCCTAAGAAACTAAAATTTTGGTGTTATTCCAATTAAATCCAATGCATTTATTTTTATTTATTGCAAATATGCCATGAACGAACTCTTTTATCACTCTTACCAATGTCTTTTATTGCTATAGAATGTAATAAAAAAAGGAAATTTAACAATATGTAATTTTTATTTTAACTATTATAATTACAGGTGGACTAATGCTCTCTCACCTGGAGAATACATGTTTCGTGTTGGTAATATTGAAGATACTGGTCAACCCGAGGTGCCTCAAACTACCATTGAAAATGAGGGTAAAACAATTTAGTTTTTATTTATTCTTAAGTAACTTGTTTCTTTTTTAAATAGATGTATGAACTTTTCACAAATTTTTGGCATATCTTACCTGACCCCCTCCACATCTAGCTGATCGATACTCATTCTATCTCCTTGTTGTAGCTTTATACCATTTAATTGGGTCTTTTTAATGTTTAATGAAGAATAACAATTAATGAAATAGACAAAATATAATAAATAAAATATTGCTTTTCAGTAACATCATAAAAGCTATCTTGGATTTTGTCATTTTATTTTGGTTGTTATTATGTTTGGTTGGTATTATGTAAAGATGTTGGTATTAAATCTTAATTCTTACCAGAACTTCAATTCTAAACAAAATGATTTTCAGTATTTTCATTCAATTTTTTTTTATTTAAATGGATCATGTTTAAGTTCTTTTTTTTTTCTTTCTTTTTAGCCAAATTAATTAATTTGGAAGCCACTTGACTTACCAGAAAATGAGGTTGTAATAATGGAAAACACATTTTAATTAAGGATGTTTTCTTCATTCTTATTAATTTGCTCAGTCCTAATAATTGATCTATTTGTTAAAATACCTGCATGTAAAAATCCATAAACTGGAATCAATTTATTCAGCTACATATGAGGTCTTCGTGCAATGTATGCATTCTGTTTTCCGAAGTCAGCATGTCTTGCAGGTATACGTGTGCACATTTGTAATGAAGAAATTTTCAGCTACTTGAAAAAATAGCAGCGCTTTTTGACGATGAGGAGGATCTATTTTCTCATCCTCTTTACTAACATGAACTCTTCAGACCGACTGATCATTGAAAAATACAATATTTACAACTTACTGGTTGGTTTCCAACCTTCAAGGATGTGCAGAGCCTCCCAAAGTTTTATTGAGACTATCTTAAATACTTCATTTTATTTTCTAGGAGATCTTAGTGAGTCCCAAATTAATCTGATTAAGACAAGATGAATCAAAATGTTAGTGAGTACATTATTCTTCACATAAATCATTGGCAGCAGCTATTTAAATCATTTTTTATTGTAAAAACATTTTTCGAAACATATTTCAAAGTCTATATAGACTTTGTAAACAATGTAGAAACCAATTTTGTCTTCAACTGTTTACCTTTTCTACAAAATCATTAGTCAAACTTTTTTAAGGGATTTATCATTTTGTTGTTAACCGGAAGTGGTACTTAATACATATTTTCACGATTTATTCCAAAACTGTTTTAATAATTTACATTAAATTTCTTATGTCCTTCTAAAATTAAATGGTTATTAATATTATCTTAGCATTATCCTCATTTATATAGTCTGACAGGGCTTAGTATCAAATTACAATTTCATGCTAAATTTTCAAACTGGCTTCCTCTAAAGTATCTTTAATATGATTTATTTGAAATAAAGAACAGTTTCTTGTGAGTAGCAGTAGTAAGAAATGGCTAAATATAAACTATGATAGAATTTGATAATAAACTGAAGGAGAAATAAAGGTCATTCATTTTATTTGGTAGAAAACAAATTTTTGAAAATAAGATTAGTAATATGTATGTGTGGCATCATTGGCAGGCCAAATATGTTAGAAACATTAATATCTAACATATAAATTTATCAAAGGTAAATGAGAGTTACAAAATGATTATGAATAATAATTTTTCAAAACTATTATTATTTAAAGGAAATAAAATGTTTCCTTGAAAAACAAATTAAATTTCCAAACCAAATAAATGGAAATTTTTAAAATTATTTTTAATCATGGCCAACTTTAAGATATGGTATTTAATGAATTTATTTTTTCTCATTCATATTCTTTGAAAGAAGCATTTTTGATTGGTACTTCATTTAAACCAATAACTCAATTAAAAAAAAAAAGTAACTTACCTGATTTTTTCCTCCTTACTCTCTAATTATTACCACGTACTGTTTTTTTCCTCATCTTTATTTATTAATTAAATAATTTTTGCAGTTCCTGATGAGAGTGAGCCACAGTCATGCACTGATGGAGCTATTCTTTGCCATAAATACTCAGACTGCTTTGACGAACCTGAGGGTGGATTTTGTTGCCGCTGTCAAAAAGGATATTTTGGAGATGGAAGAAATTGCTTGGACTTTGGTATATTATGTTTATGGTATATTAGTTTGTATATCTTGTTTTAAAGACAATAAAGTTCCCAGTATCTTCTACATAGTGTAAATATTAAACAAAAAATATTGCTACTTTTTTAAATGAAGAATCAATCAGATTTTAAGGATGATTTTATAGCAGATGCTTTACCTGAACAAAGCACTCTGTAGTGAGTTTGGTATTGCCTTAGAGAATCAATTAACTGTTTTGAGAATTAATGATATTGCGAAATGAAATTGAATCTATAAAAATTTTACTGTATTAATGTATCTATAATATTGCCATTAATGGCTATCTACTTTTCTAAGCTGGTAGGGGGTTCCAGAAACGGCACCGATTTGTATTTGGTGTATTTAACAATTATATTTATATATTAAACAAAAAATATTGCTACTTTTTTAAATGAAGAATCACTCAGATTTTAAGGATGATTTTATAGCAGATGCTTTACCTGAACAAAGCACTCTGTAGTGCTCCCACACTCCCATACTCTACCCATATTTAAATCCCGCCTCTAACCATTTTCTATACATCTAGTTCCTCAAAAATTGTAAATAGATAAGTTATTAAATATGTAGATAAATTATTTGTTTTGTTTTTTTATATCATGTTGGAATCATATTTTTTATTTTATATTTGCTATTATTAGAGGTTATGGCATAATTTCTTATTTCTTTTTTTTTTTTTTTATTCTGAGGCTCTAATTCCTATAATTGTGTACATTTATATTATTCAAAATTGTCTTGTCCCCAGGATAAATAAACCATTTATTATTATTATATTTTTCAATTTTACTGTTTATTTTTTAAATTATGGAATTAATCCTGAAATTTATTTAACACAGAAACCCATAGGATGATTGGCAAAGTAAATATCAGTCTAAATGGAGTGGAAAGTAAAAATCTAAACATGCAAGCATTTATTGTAACTGGTGACGGCCGTACATATACAGCAATAACTGGAGTGCCACATGAGATCGGCTACAGTATGCAACTCCTTGTCAGTCTTGGATCCTTTGTAGGCTTTTTATTTGCAAAGCCAATTGGTGATGCACCAAATGGTTATCAGTTAACAGGTAACTATTATTTTTTGTTTATGTTCATTCCCAGGAAAAGGAACTCTAATGCATTTTTTTTTTTTTTTTTTTTGTAGGTGGTGTGGTCAATCATACTCTAGACATATCATTTGGCTCTAATCACCATGTAAATATACGTCAAAGGTATTGCTGAAATAATTATATTAAAAATATACATATATCATATAATCAAAGTTTTCTTTCTTTAATGAATCATTTCGGGACAAAGTGATATATGTGCCAAAAAAAAATAAAAATTTTTGGCTAATAAAACAAACTGTTTAACAGCTCATTGTTTATTGGAAAATCTTTATTGAATGTATTTAAAAAAAAAAAACATCACTCCTGTTAGTGCAAAAGGTCGTATATAACAAATTTACATTCTTATTACAGTTGTGCTAAACTTGACATTTTGTAGTCTACAACTGCTGTAATTTCTATGATACTATGGAAAATAATTGAGGAAAATAAAATATGAAATTATACTAATAAATCATAAAGAAATAATTAGTTTTTATTATCTCTCTACCTAAAAAAACTCAATTTTTACATACGACCTTTTGCACTAACAGTAGCGATATGCTCAAATATTTAATATCAATTGATATAGACATAAGTCTTTTTGAAGGAAATAGACTGTCATTAATTTAAACATGATCTACCTTCTCACTCTTGAACAACAAAGAAATTCTTGGGTAGTTGAATCCATATGAACTATATTAGAAATTATCTTTAGATATTTTATATGAAAAAAACAAACAATTCTTCTTAAAATATCACACTGCAAATCACTACTATTTAAATATGTATTGTAAAATGAAGAACCTTCTCAGTTTGTGAATAACATTACTCAAAAACTAGAATTTTAAAATTATTTTTGTTTCCAACTTCCAGTTTGATAGAAACCTAACTTCCATTGACATATACAGGCTATTCTCAAGTTTTGTCATTTCCTTGGTTTTTGTTAACATCTTTTTTTTTTTAATTATTCAAGCTATGTTATCTCAAAAAGTAAATTTTACCTATTTAGCAGTATTTATTATTATTATAGTAGTGCTACAATCTGTAAGTGAATCATGGCTTTTTCCTTTCAAACCAATTGGCATGTGTTTCTATTGCTGGCTGTCATCATTCGGCCATTTTCTCTTAATTTTCTGGTATCACCAGTCTGACCATCTTAATCTTGGTATGCCAACTTCTTAATGCTTGCGCTAGGTTTCTATCACCAGGAAGGGAATAGCGTAAATATGCATTATCTAGACAAACAGCCCAGCCAAGTTATTTAATTTAATTACTGCATTGGATATCTATACCATAGAATAGATCATATATTTAATTATTTGTCATTTGCTGCTTTTCTCCTCTATTAACATGGTCTAAGACTAGTCAAAGAAATTTCCTCTCTAAAAATACAGTTTTTTGTTTAAATATTTACCTTAACTATTGTTCAATCACAAGTTTCTCTGTTGATTTTTATTCAAGTTATATGATTATATAAGAGGTAGGAACTCACTTTAATCCTTCAGTTCAGTTCAGTTTCTTGAAAACTACTTCCAAAGAAATTTTGCCTGCAGATGTTCAGGCAATTATATTCTTAGTTGAGAAGTCTTAAGCTTTATAGATTTTTATGACAGAAGATAATTATCTCTCTTGATTTTAATGTAATTAGATTACTAGATGTCAATCTTAGTTTTATTTTTTTATTAACTATCTTTTATATTCTTATCAGTTATGTTCAATTAATTTAGGTATGTTAAGCTAGTGTTAGGCACATTTGAGTAGTTTGAACACATAAACAAAACATCAAATTTATATTTAATTTCATTAATATTCCAGTCATAAAAAAGTTGAAACTAAATTTAAGTTTTCAGTATTTTTTTTTACAATTGATTCTTAAATTTCAGATATTTTATTATGCAATAAATCACAAACAATATAGTATTTTGTTCTTCAATTTAGGAATAAACTTTATCTTACAGAATGTACAGGGGTTTTAATTTTTTGAAGAAAATTTGTTCTAAAATAAAATTACATTTTTCACTTTATTTTAACTCATTCAAACAGAAATTTATTTTATTTTTAATTTATTCAGATATACAGGATTAGATTTATTTGAACAAATTAAAATGGAAGCAGAAGTGACTGGCACCATCCCCACAGTTATAGAAAGCGCAAGACTTGCTGTTTTGGATTTCCAGGAGCATTACACCAGGATATCACCAGGTATATGACTAGATCTAATACGTAATATTACATATAAATTTTCTCATTTTAATGTAATTATTTATAAATAGTTGTTAGCAACAGTAATGCAGTTAATATTTTATAACTTTTTGAAGTTATTTCTAACATATTAGGTGGTTACCTTACATGTAAGCAACCTATTCCAGTCAGTGTGGGAAGATCAATTTCATTCTGTGGGTCTCCCACAAAATAACTTTATTCACTTCTCATTCGAGGTCACTAAGGTGACAACCTTAACACACTCAACCATTGCAGCCTCCAATATTTCAGAACTGACATTCTATTTAATTTATCCACACACAGAAAACAAATAGTAAGAGGAAATAAGATAAAATCAAGTGAAATTTTATTATTTTAATAATTTTTTAAGACAATATCTCCTTTTTTTAAATTTATTTATTACCAGATCGGCCTGGTGGGCCTTACATGGTTGTTGTAACAATTTGATGATTTTTAACAATTGTTCTGGTGGGGTATAGTCTTTGCAAAAGACACCCCTAACTATTTATACATTATAATTATTGAATAATTACAATTAATAAAGAAAAAATTATTAATTGTTCATAACATGATGTCTTGGATCAGTCTGGGCTTCAGTCTTCGAGATGAGGTTGGGTTTCCTAAGTTGTAGGCCACTGCACCTTTAACTGCTGGTAGCTGCGTATGGAATTTTTTAAATCTTTTTTTGATGAATTCATCTATTGTTTCCAATTTTAGTTCTCGATGTAGTTGAGCGTTTCTTATGAACCAGGGGGCATCTACTGCAATTCTTAATACCTTGTTTTGAAAGGATTGTAGTTTTTTTCTTTTCGTAGCTGAAGCGGCTCCCCAGACTTCACATCCGTACATTAGCAAGGGTCTTAGTATGGTTTTATGAATAAGAACAGTTGTCTCTGGTTTTAAACTAGATTTTCTATTTACTATGGGATATAACATTGCTAACCTTGCGTATGTTTGGGTCAGTTTATTATTTATATGGTAATTCCACGTAAGGCGGCGGTCCAGATAAACTCCGAGGTATTTTACTGCTTCACTAGCTGGGTTCCATTTTAGTTCTTTATTTTTGAGAATCAGTTCAGGTGGGTCTGAGGGACGTCTAAGAGTAAAAATTTTTGCTGTACATTTTTCGGTGTTGAGACAAATCATCCATTTTTTAAAATATTGTTCTAGATTTACTAGGTAAGACTGCAGTGTATTTCTGGCTATTAATATATCATTGTGTTGGGAAAAGACAGCTGTATCGTCGGCAAACATAGCTATGGAGGTGTTTGTGGATTGGATAATGTCGTGAACATAAAAGTTAAAAAGTATGGGAGAAAGAACAGAACCTTGTGGGGTGCCGGCATGGATTTGTCTTAAGGTTGAATTTATATTATTTATTCTAACTGTAAATGTTCTGCCGTTGAGGAATGAGCTCAGAACGTCATATAAATATTTGGGCGTGTCCACTTTCTTTAGCTTGTACAATAGACCACAATGCCAAACCTTATCAAACGCTTGTTGAAAGTCTAAAAACGTGACAAGAGTATGTTTTTTCATTTCAAATCCATTTACTATGAATTCTGATAATCTTGCCAGTTGGTGGGAAGTGGAATGACTATACTGAAAACCAAATTGAAAATCAGGAATAATGCTATTACATTGTAAAAAGGATGCAAGATGTCTTTTTATGACTAACTCTAGTAATTTTCCAACTATGGATAATAAACTTATCGGTCTATAGCTACTGACTTGTTTAGCGTTTTTACCATGCTTATGAATTACTACGAGTTCAGCTTTCTTCCACGTTTCGGGAAAATATCCAGTGCGTAGACAGCTATTAAAAATAGACGTAATGTAAACGAGAGCATTTCTAGGAAAATTTTTTAAAGCAATAACTGGTATAAGGTCATGTCCTGGACTTTTTTTTACTTTGAGACTCCTAATTAGTTCTTGAATTTCTTTAGGGGTTGTGAATTTAATCGGAAGCTGTACAGTTGTTAGGGGCAATTTTAAATAATCTTTAACATCAACATTTGGTGAATGCGAACTTCTTTCGCATTCTGGGTTTGAGAACATTTTCTCAAAGTAATCTGCAAATGCTTCAGCTTTTTCTGCGTCACTGATGATGTATCCTCCATTCTCTTCCAGACTAGGAATTTTCTCAAATTTGCTTAGTACACGCCGAGTAGCCTTCCACAGAGATTGGTCCTTTGGGTCTAAATCTTTTACGTAATTTTGGTATTTAGAATACACCCATTCATCCAGTTCTTTTTTAATTACGTGTTTGAGGTGGTTCCATGTCTTTTTGTAAGTAGGATCTCTGTTGCGCATCAACTGTCTCCTTGCATGGTTCAATATCTCCTTGTTACACTTTTAAATAAGTTTAGTCATTTGTGTATTTTTCTTTTCTCATCACTTTCTTCTAACCAACTTCTATAATTTATTAATTTAATCTTTACTGTATTTCCATTTTTGACATTACGTTAAACACATAGTTAGGTTTATAATTATTCAAATTCTTAAGTCTGAATTGTATATTTTATCAGACACCAACCAAAAACAATATTTTCTTCTTTTAATTTTGTTTTAAATTGAATAAAATAAATTGATGGAAAGCGGCATATATTTTACAATCCAAAACCTTAATATCTTTCACTTATGCTAATAGACACCATTAATATGCATATTTTATGGTCACTTCTATGTTTCAGGTTTTTTCAGATCACAATCCAGGCAAACAATAGAGGATACAGAGAATTATAAGGAATCATTTGATGTATTCGTAGATCAAACCATTGAGTTTAAAGAATACTGTCCTTCTGCCTACAAAAAGCTTTCATCTGTAAGATTAAAATCTTCTAGACATTACCTTAGATATGAGCCTAAAGATATGATTCTTCGGTTGGCATCTACCAATAAAGTTTCTCAAAATGCAGGTAAGTTTTAGATATAAGTAAAATTTTTATTTTTCCTTTATGAATCTTTCATGAATAGCATCCCTTAGTATGATTTTAAAAAAAATATATTATGAGATTATTATCTTCAAATGATTTGCCCATTCTTTTTGAATTGATAGTTTTCAATGAAATGTACCAAACTACATGGTACAGTGAACTCTCCATTATCCGAAATGATTTAGACCAGACATATTTCGGATTAACATTTTTTCCAGCCTAAGGAGAATCATTCTTAAAATAAATTTACATTACATAATACCCCACGAATACATAATATTACTCCTGATTATATGGGATGCACTTTATTTTATAAGTTTTGTATAAATTGTTGCAAAAATAGTAGAACCAACTTTGGCCTTGTCTAAATTTAATAGACTATTCAAACTCAATCACTATAAAAAACAAAACAAGATCGCTGACGGAACCAGCTTTCCAGATCTTCCATGCTCAAATAATACAAATGAAAATGATGTGTGCGAGTAATTGGGAGCTTATGATCATATGAGATAGCCAATAGTTCGTCAAAAGGGTTTGAAAGAATCTGCCATCTTCACAGATGAGTCAGCATGGAGCAATAAGTGACAGTGAGACTTGAGTATTCTAATCAGACATTTGTGGCTTGACTGCATTTGATGTAGTGCTATCCTACATTGTACAATAATCAGCCAAGAATCCAGAGGACGCTGTTTTTCTGCGGTGTTGGCTTTTAGAAAATGGGATTCTTTTATTAAATATAAAATTAACGGATTTATTCCAATCCTAGTAGTTCTGAAATACAGAAATTACATTAGTACATTGTTTAATTTGGAATTTTAATTTTCAGACATTTGTTTTATATTATTCAGTATAACCATAGTTCCTTTTGAACCTAAAGAATGTACCCTAATTGGTTTCAGATTACCTTAGTTAAAATTAGTGGGAATCCTCTCTAAATACATTTTTTAATGTTATGAAGTTGGACTAGCAAATAAATATCACACTTAATTTTGTTCCAGAGGGTCAGGATCCATGTATAGAAGGACATGTTACATGTGTAGCTAACAGTTCTTGCTTAGTGGAAGATGATACTTTTCGATGTGTCTGCAATCCAGGGTAAATAAAATAATTAATTTTTTTTTATAATTTAATTTTGTATGGGTAGGTCATCTGTTAAGAACGTGTATTGAGTTTTCTTAATCATTCATCTTTCCTTTGATAATAAAACATGTCAACTCTAAATTTCTCTCTTGTTTTCCCGCATTTTGATATGGCTGTCTGGTGTATGGCAAACTTGCTTACGAAGTAAGAATCAAATGACTTATGAATTGCTCAATTACCTTTGTTTTTTGGCTCACCAGGATTACATCTATAACATAGAATTATAACGATTTTAAGTGGCTTGCTCAATTAGCTTTGTTTTTTGGACTGCCAGGATTACACCTGTAATCCAGAATTAGACCAAGTTTTAGTGGCTATAACCTCTATATCCATCCTACAGAGTATGTAATTTAAATCTTCCATTCATTCCCTTTCTGCCCTGTCCTGTTGAATTGAATTTAATAAATCTGCTTTGCTTCTGTATTAGTTTTCATTTTTAGTTTTTTTGTATTTTCTTCTTCAGTGATATATCATCTCACACCTCATAACGTATTATTATGAATTGAATAATTCCAAAAAAATCAATCAAGTTGCTATTTCACCCATAAGCAGATGCTTATTTGATTGTGGCCTGTGAGATCTAATTTTTTTTTTGTATTCACTAAATAAATATATATAATTTCAAAATTAGTATGTTATCTAGATTATTGATTGGACAGAATAATATATCTTTTTTTTTTTTCTTCAATTCTTCATCCACACCTGTCATGGTAGTGACAATTAGCAGATTTGTTGATAAGTAAAAATGGCATGATAGGCATGACGAAGAATGGAGCCCAGCAGCATCTCTTCCCAGGTCTGTTTATATCCTAAAATCAAGAAAGGAAATTCTCATCCAGCTCCTTTTCAGTCGCCTCCTGATGAGCATTTCAGCTGTGGCCATGTCGTTGATAAGTCCAATGTGATGTCCGTGTAGTTTAAGATGAAATCGGAAGTAAAGAGTACGTATGTGCTGGTCAATGGTTGGTTGTCTTAGGTCGGTATGTAAAGTCTTATTGTTAGCATACCAGAGAGCTGCAGTTACTAGTCTTAAAATTTTAGATTGAAAAGATTGTAGTTTTTGTAAGTGAGTCTTTTTTGCTGAACCGTAAATCTGTGAGGCGTATGCCCAAATGGGTTTGAGCAGGTAAGTGTATGTATTTAGTTTTTGTCTAGTTTTCAATTTTGATTTAGAAAACAGTGAGTATAGTATTTTCAGTCGCTTGCCATCCATATATCATCAACTTTATATTTTATTAATAAAATATATTTCCTAATTGTTTTCTTTATAAAAAAAAAATAATGCCTTTTTTGAAACTACAGGTTTCAAACATTACCTGATCAATCATCTGAATTTGGCTGTGTTGACATAAATGAATGTGAAGATGGTTCTGCTAATTGCCATAGTAAAGCTTTATGTGTAAATGAAGTAGGAACATACTCTTGTCAATGTTTTCCTGAATATACAGGAAATGGCCGACAATGTGAAGGTATCTATTGATAATTATGGATTGGAGACATTGATTTTTGTCAAACATTGTTCTATTTTATTTAATTTGTTTATCTATTTCATATATTCATAACAAAAACCTACACTTATGAATATTTCCCCTCATTTTTAGCTATAGAACCACCCAAAACACCAACACTCTCCAACGGTTTTTGCAGAGACTATGAGCATTCATATTCTTGTAGCTGTAACAATGGGTAAATCTAATTCATTAATGTGATTTTACCATTCATTTCAATGAATTATTTTAAGGTTTGTTATTTTGCTTTCAGATTTGAAAAAATTCCTGATGGTTCTGAAATCGGATTCACATGTGAAGATATTGATGAGTGCTCCATAACTGAACCCTGTGATCCATCAGCTGAGTGTGTTAATTCCATTGGTTCTTTTACTTGTTATTGTCCTGATGGTTATGTAGGAGATGGATACTCATGTGTTAGTAAGTTTTGCAGTTGTATAAATCATTTCATGAATAATTATGTTTTTAATTTCTAATATGCATCAGATTCCACTTTTTATAGGTAGTGAAAAAGTCTCTTACATTATCAAATCAACTTATTTAAGTTGTTATTGGCTTATACTATATTATTTTTCTCCAAAATTAACAGAATATATCATTGTATCATTTGAATATCAGCTTTGGGGTGTCATTAATAAAATATGAGTCCATAAAATTATAATAAATTTAATCCATGAACTATATCTTCAGCCTAATAATTATGTTACTTTAACTAGAGGATGAGGGAGATTGCGAGAATTTTGAGTGCCCTACCAGCAGTGTTTGCCGTGAGACTAGCAATGGCCCGGAATGTGTATGTGAGACTGGATATTCTGGCACACCCCCTAACTGCTCTCCTATTGGTATTGCTCTTTTTTATATATACTACTCTAATAATTACAGATTAATTTCAATTAGACATTTAATAACAGAAATTCTGATTACTCACTATGATTTCTATACTTCAACAAATATTTTATGTTATTTGAAAGCTATTTATAAATAATGTAAATTTTTTTATTACAATTGTACATTTTATTGTTTTATGTTGTATTTATGAAGGTTCTAGTGGATAAAGGTAATGAGTGAAATTGTTTGGAAAATTAAAGAATTGCAATAGTTAAAGATATTTTTCTCTTGTTATTATATTGTATTCTTCTTTTCCCTTTCATTAATCCAAGATTTGGTTCTGGATTAAGTCGATATAGGTTTCATTTAATGATATATGTATGACTTATAGAACCCGACAAATGTTTCTTATTACCTTTATCTAATGAATCATCAATCAATATTGTTATAATCATTATTATATCTGCTAAGTTACTAATATTACTAACTTCTTAAATCTGATAAAATATTTCAAAATACAGTTGTTATTGTGAATGGTGGAGGTATCATTCATCAATTAATTCAAGGAAAGTTGTTTGTGGAGTATTGCCAGGAAAGAAAAACACAGATACGTATAATCACATTTTAACTAATACCTTGTATACCTACCTTCAGTGTAAGTTATGGGCCCTAATCAGAGCTTAGCAAAACAAGATAACAAGAAAATAATTAGAAATAGTAGGTAAGAAATAATATAAAAGATAACGTGAATGAATTAGGTTTCTTCCCAATTGAACGTTTACCTACAAGAACATTTAAAAAAAAAATGCACTGATTATCAATCAATAACAAGCTTAAAGAAGAGAAGAAAAAAATACATAGAAATAGCAATGGCGATAATAAATTATTAAATGCACATTAAAGCATTACATAATTCATCGGATCATTTTTTGGATAGCCAAATATATGTTTTCTTTCAGACAGTTATTCATTGTTATAAATTAATTAAAATACTAATTATCTTAAAATACAATCCTTATTGAAGCCCTTGTGTATAATTTAAATACAATTAAAATCTTAGTTTAGCTCAATTACAATTAAGATCTTAGTTTAAAAATAGAAGTGAAAATAATTCACAGGACTATCAACAAAAACAAACTGAACTACATTAATATACTGAAAAATGGTCTATCAAAACCACTTATATTATAGTTGTGAAAGATCTGGAAAATTCAAGACTAGCCCAGAAAGTGAAAGACATTCTTCATTTAGTGCTCAAAATAATTATAACATTGAATTTAACAAATCATGAATATTATTTAAAAGTAAATGTTACAAAAATGCAAGCTTTGTGTTTTTCTTTCCTACCATCCCTCTCCCTCACACTCTAAACTACTTCAACTTAAATTATTATTCTTGACTAGAAGGTAGACTTTCATTATTTCATTTTGTTTAGAAGTGAAAAAATACAAATAAATCATTATGTTTACATTTCAGGAACATACTCCCCATCTTCTGAACCAAAAACTTCTTGAAAAATACAATATGATACTTTTCTCATCATTGCTTCGTTCAATTTATCTTATTGGGTGTTTTTCCAATTAAAAAAATTATATTCTTAACATTTTATAATCCAATATGTTTAACAATATTCTCATTAATTTAATTATTCTAATGAAAAGTTTAAAGTGATATATTAATTAAATAGTAAATAGTGTAATCTTTTGATAGGTGTTTGTGAGGTTGATAGCGATTGCAAAGAAAATTTTATCTGTCAGTGGAACTCTACTGTTCAATTTTCTACATGTACCTGTAAAGAGGGTTATATTCAAGAGCAATCATCTTGCCTTCCTCCAGCTAATGAAAATGCCTTAGTTAGGACATGCATGAATGGAGAATGCTGGTGTCCTCCAGGTTATATTGATAATGGACAACTCTGTGTTCCTCAAACGCCTTCTCACTCTAATCACAGGCATTGTAAGAATATTTATAAAAAGATACAAATAATTTTCTATACTCATTTCTATATTAATGAGTTCTTGTTAGTACTTCTTTCTATAAAGTAAAATCTCCACTAAATCATTACTTAGTTATCGCTCATTCATCTGTTTCCATGCTTTAAAACGCTCCTTTCTCATTATCTTTAGGACTATTTATGAATCAAACATTTGTGTAATTTTAAGCCTGTTGGAGGAATTTACGGCATAGACTCAATGAGTAATTACATTTTTCACCTCACCACAAAATGGATATCTTGTTATGTTATTTCTCAAAGGTCTGTTTTAGTCGATATGCCATATCTTCCTTAATATTTCTTTATTACCAATGATTGAACAAACAATATAAAGATTACCTTCCCTACTAATACTAAAAAGTAATCACACCCCCCTTCAAAAAAGCTGAAAAGAAAGTTAAGAAGAAAAAGAAATTTAGTTTTCATCGAATTCATAAGGTGTATAATTTATAGTTGATAGTAGTTTAACAGTTGATGATTCATTATAATTTAAAGATACTTGAATTATTTATTAAATGGAAACAAAACACTGAAATAGTTAAGAATGGAAAAAGATATTATCAAAGATAAAGCCTAATAAATAAACATTAAACTTATTTTTTGGTTCATTATTGAAAATTTATTATTCAAACAAGAAAACAATTGTTTGCTCTACCTCTCAACATTTTTAGGTTAATCCTTTCATGATACATAGAAACAAAAAAAAAAAACAAAAAAAAAACAAAACAGATAAAACAATATCTTTCCATACTCCATTCGCCTACCATGCTTTTCTCCCTAAACTAGTGGACCCATTTTGTTTATTTTATTTTTTATAGATTCAGCTCCATTCTTATAAATCACCTCATTGTGATATATTTTATGCCTTTTTTTACACTTTCATTCATTAAACATTTCTCTTGTTATAGTTTTGATTATTTTATTGAAATTGATCAATAAGTTTTGTTAAGATTTCGTGCACTGTTTCAGCATCCTGTAAGGAGTTAAACAATTGTGATAAAAATGCAAGGTGCATATACGTAGCTGATAAAAGAGATTATGAGTGCAAATGTAATGCAGGATATGAAGGCGATGGTATTTCATGCTCTGAGTTTGGTAGGCAGAATTATTATTTAAAATAGTGATTTATCATATTTCATTTATTTTAATTTCCTCCATTTTCTAGAAATGTCTTGCCATGAAAGTCCCATTTGTGACATTAACGCTGAATGTCGTTTTGAATCTACTTCTGAAAGGTACATATGCATTTGTAAGGAAGGTTACCAAGGAGATGGAACAACATGTTATTCTATGGAAGGTATGGCATTATATCAGCTTTTTAGCACTAATTTAATAAAATGTGAATTAACCCTGTGTTGCCAATAACACACTTCAGAGTACCCACCTCTGCAAGCAATTTGTTTTTATTTCACCAGTTTCCTTCACCCTGATGTGCTTCCATTGTTTAGTTGGCATTGATACAGTGGAAGAAGATTGGTGTCTCTATATGTTGTGTATTTGGCAATAAAGGAGGTAACTAATTTTTATCACCTGCACAAAGTGATGGTAAAGTTGTTGTTCCTAAAGAAAAGTACTGAATTGCATATTTTTGGTTTAGTTATTCTATTATTGAATATTTTCCTCTGATTCATCCACTTCTCATGAATATATGTGCATATGTATTTATATATATATATATATATATATATATATATATATATATATATATATATATATATATATATATATATATATATATATATATATTTTTTTTTTTTTTTTCCCTTTAGGTCTACAGACCTACAGGCCGCCTGAACCAGCCTTCACCACCCTGCTTATCTAAGGCTACTGCTTTCCAGTTTGCGGCATGAAACTCAGACGTATCTTTGTTTATCCTATCTATCCATCTGGTTTTTGGCTTCCCATGTGGTCTCTTGCCCAGTACTCTGGCATTCATTGTCGTGTAAAGGCGTCCTGATGGATTGCTACGAGCTACATGCCCTGCAAATCTTAACCTCCTTGCCTTCTTATCATGAGATATTGACTGACCCGTTCCTTTCAGCAGTTCTTTGTTGTTTCTCCTCCTCCATGTGTCAAGATTCTGGTCCCATATAGGTCCTGTTATCCTATGTAAAACCTTTCTTTCAAATCTCTCAATTCTGGCTTCTAGTGTGCCGGTGAGAGCCCAGGTTTCACAACCTTACAGCAGAACTGGCTTAATCACTGTACACCCTTATTTTGAGATTTTTGGAGATTTTTCTGGATTTCAGTGCCTTTGAAAGAGAGAAGAAAGATCTGTTTGCACTTATTATTCGCTGGTCTATCTCCTTAGTTGATCATTTATTTTAGGTTATTGTGGAGCCGAGGTATTTGAATCTATCTACTTTCGGGAATGACTTAGAGTCCACACAGATCATGTTATTAGGGTGGATGTTTCGGCTAACTATCATGTATTTTGTTTTATCTACATTGAGTTGTAGTCTGATTTGTTCTGCTTCTTTTAACAGAGTCCGAGTGAATCTCTCAGTATCCTCTTGATTACTTCCGAGGACAGCTATATCATCCGTATATGCTAGGATTTTGTGTTTCATTCCAACGTGCACCCCTCCATCTTCGAGTGATGTTATTCATATTACTTTCTCTAGTGCTAAGTTGAACAGCATCAGCAAGTGTCTGTCTCCCTGCCTCAAACCCATTCGAACTTCAAAGGCTTCAGATACTTCTCCTTGTATTACTAGTACCCTACATTTAGGATCATTTGTACACGCCTTTGTCAACCTTACTAACTTCCCGGGAACATCCAGCTCAGTCATGATCTTTCAGAGATAGTTTCTGTTCATGGTGTCATAGGCTGCTTTGAAGTTGACAAATAATGCATTTACGTCCTGATCTACTTCCCATCGTTTTTCAAGTAATTGTTTTAGGATGAATATATGATCTAGCGTACTCCTTCCTCTCCTAAATCCTGTTTGATGGTCGCCTATTATGTTTTCATAATACGGATATATCCGATTTAGTAGAATATTAGTCATTATTTTATAGGCAACTGGAAGAAGTGCTATGCCTCTATAATTTCCACGATGAACATGAAGCCCTTCATTTTTCGTACATGAAGCCCTTCTTAAGGATAAGACAGATCAACCCTGTGTTCCATGCTTCTGGTATCCGTTCTTTCTCCCATTTCTTCTGGATTAGATACAACAGTTAGGCTCTGAGGTCTTCTCCCCCTTCCTTGAACAATTCTGGTGGTAGGTTGTCTATCCCTGGAGCCTTTCTTCTTTTAAGCCTGCCGGTAGCTATTTCCACATCCAGAATATCTGGTTTTTCAGCCTTAAGTGGGTCGATGTCCTCAGTGTGGTCCATGTCTTATTCGTTTGTGGGGTGCCCTTGATTAAGCAGCTGCTGGAAGAGTTCCTTCCATATGCTTAGGATCTTTTCTTTTGATGCTGTCAATTTGCCATCTCTCTCTCGTATTTGCGTATTTCTTGCTTTATATCCTACCCTTTCTTTCCTGATATCTGCGAAGAAATCGCTTATATTTCCAGACTGCCAGTTTTCCTCAATAGTTTGTAATCTTTCTTTGAGGAATTCTATTTTGGCTGTTCTTATTATTTAACCAGATATCTTTTTCCTACCGGCTGTGTATTTGTCCATCATAGCTTGATCAGTTTGTAAGCAGAGGACCTTTATTCTTTCCTCCACTGGCTTTTCGCATGCTTCTGTGAACCATTTATTGGCTTTGAATCCCTACTACTTCCTTAGCTGTTTGTTTTAGCCCTGACTCTAGTGCCTGCTGGTGTTGGTCAACCGTGAGGCCTTCCAAGTTCAAGAGTTCGAATTTATTTTTCAGCTCAATTTGAAATTCAACTTGTACTATAGGGTTTCTTAGGGTATATTATACTTATACCTTCTGACTGTTACTTCCGGAGATTCATTTTCAATCTGGATTAGCATTTTTCTTTTTTTCTCCAGATTCCAATGATTATATTCTTTCAAACTTCATATTTAGCCATTTTTTATAGTTACTGTCAATAAAAGAGAGTTAATTTTTTTAAAATAAACTATATTGAAGGTACTTTAGAGGAAGAAATATACGAATATTGGGCATTTAAGCCCAGTAATGTGATATCAATGAGCATAAGGCCTAAATGATATTAAAGACCATTTAATTATACAATGATAAACTGAGTTTAGTCAAAATCGTTGGAGCTGTTTTTGAGAAAATTGTAAAAATGTGATATAAAGTGCCACTTCCGGGTAGTCGATTTTAGCGAAATGTTGCCACATAAATCTTTTTCATTAAAAAGGTTTCAGCATCCTTTAAAACTCTTAAATAGGAATTTATTTTGAATTAAAATAATATTAATTTTAGAGCCTGATTTAATGGGAGATTTTTTTTTCATGCCATTTCCTAAAGCATTCATAACTCCTCAGGATTTTGTCCTAATTTTAATATTACTATAACCTTTGGAAAGCTAAATTATTGCTCTTCTAAACTACATTATTAATTTTTACATTTTACATCTTTATAAGGAATAAATAAAGAAAAAACTCCTCAAACCTTTTTATATCTCCAGATCTAATTTTTTTTACAGGATTCTGGTTTGTGCCATTTTGTGTAGCTTGCAGGACCCTAAATTATAGTTTTATTTTGGATATTATTATACCTGTAATATAGCAAAATATTATTATTTTTTTACGATAGCAATGAAAATATTCTTAATATTTCCCTGTGTTTAACTTGAATAACAAAGCTATAAACACACAGATAGATCAAAAAAGAACTATTGATAGAAGGCAAAAGTTGAACAAAATAAATCATTTTTCGATTGTACTTAAAATCCTTATTTAAAGATTTATTGAGGTGTGAAAAACAAATATCAACTTTGTTTGTTTTGTTTTTCCCTAAAAAAATATTTGATGGGATCCGAATATATATATATCATGTAGAATGCATACTTAATTCTTATTTTGGGATCGGATCTGGAACATATACTAGGTTTTGTGCATGAAATTTTACTTCAGATACCCATCCAGCTTAGAAAAAAAAATTTTTTTTTTAATACAGCTATAATATTATAAGTACAATATTGAAAAAAAAAGTGGAATCAAATATTTATTTAAAGAGGAAGTAAGTGTAGATTTGTGTTTCCCTTCTTCAAAAACCATTAAATTTGAATAGAAATTTATACAAAATTTTTGTCTACGGTATAATCTATGATTTTTTTTTCAAATCATTAAAATTGTAATAACTTCAACATGACTCAATCTTCCATCACGGAAATGAGCAGAATTTTAGGGCCGTATAAATTACTCAAAATCATATAAACCAGATTCCCATGGAGTAGTTTTGCTTTATTTATTCCTTAAAAAGGCATACATTTAAAAATTAGTTCAAATAATCTATATAGTCCATTTTAAGCAATGGAAGGAGAAGGACAGGACTTTCTACCTGGCCTAATATTTATAAAGTGGCTTACATTTCATTAAATACAAATAAAATGTCAATGGCAAGATTGTATTTTCTTGTTGGACTGATATTAAAAGACAACGGAGTTATAAAATATGATAACTTGTAGATAACTTGGGAATGAGTAAATAAATCTTGAAATGTTGTTAATGACATAAATAGATGGAAGAAGTCAAAGGGTGATTAAGACCTTTGGAATACAGTATATGATATTATGTAGGAAGTACTCCTGAAATCTTGTCCTTAGTAACTAATTATATATTAAATTTCTTTTATTCACCACCTTTAGAATCAGAGACTGTGAAAGCATTACATCTTCTTTGTTTCATCTCTGCTAATGATTTATCGACCACCCCAAGTTTTTAGTCTCACTTTAAAAATTTAATGTTTGCCTTTCATTGAAACAATATTCTTTATTGAGTTATTTTTAGACAATTTCAAGCAGAACTTTTGCCTTATTATTCAATTAGTCATTAAAAACTTTTAGCTGATCAAAGAATCTGAAATTAAAAATGCTGGACTAAAGAGTTTTGGCTATAATTAAAATTATTTGATATTTTGTAAAAAGCTACATTATTTCTGTAATAAATATAACCTCATTATTATACTTAATATTTTAGAATTCTCAGAACCACAATGCCCACAATGTCATCAATATGCTACTTGTGACTCTGGAACCTGCACTTGCATTGAAGGTTATATGGGTGATGGGATTGAAATTTGTGAAAAAGAAATACAAGGCTGTGATACATTAGGTAACTGCAGCCCACAGGCAGATTGTATATATGATCCAGCTGAAGAAGGACATAGGTGTCGATGTCATGCTGTATGTATAGGAACTTAATGTTTACAAATAATTTTCAGAATTTTGTTTATAATTGATTGATTTTTTAAAAAAATTTTTATCAGGAAATTGTTGTTTTAAGTTCAATTGAGTTTTTTTTTCATTTTTTTGGTGCATCCAATATTCATTTCTGTAGGATTTTTATTTATATTTTTTCCCCTTTGAGTAAAATATGTAATGAAATCTTGTTAGTTATAGATTTTTTTTGTTTCTTAAAATATGTATAAATATTATATTGTTACTATGATTTTGAGTATTTGGGAATAATTTCTTTAATAATTTGGTTTATACTAACAAAGAAGTATCATCCTGAACTGATTTTACTGATTTTGGGCAGGAGGTAAACACGAAGTTAGAGGAAATCTCTTAAAATTTTGTGAATTCTGATGCTTGGTTTTTTACAGTTAAAACATACTTTTCTTACATTTAATTTTATAATTTGTAAACAAACACGACATGGAAAAATAAAATGTAAAAGTATTAAATAGCTCATCATTTGTTTTCAATAATTTAAAAAAGATTAGGATTATAATAATATTTATTCTTTAAGATGAGGAGGTTTTGTATTATAAATTAGGAATTTTCTTAAAAATAAATAAAGAAGTTTGGTAGTACACTTTTCTTTTCTGAAGTTTTTGGTTTCCTGCACTTGGATCATTATTAAGTTAAAAAAGATCTCTTTATTCTCTAAAGAAAGAAAATAAATAGCAGTTTTCCAGTTTTAATTTATATTATTTTAGTTACTTGTGGGAGCACTTATTCTTATTATGAATGTCACAGTATATTTTTTTATCAAAGAGAGAGAAAACCAAATGTAAAATAATAAATTTAATTATTTTGTAACATATCATTAACAAAGAAATATTTGTTTGAAGGGTTATGAAGGTGATGGTTACACCTGTAATGAAATAATTACATGTCATGAGCACCCAGATATATGTAGCAAGGATGCAACTTGCATATTAGCTCATGAAACCTACACATACAATTGCCAGTGCAATGAAGGATTCTTTGGCAATGGTTCATATTGCAAAGGTAAAGTTGACCTATTTTTGTTTAAAATTTAAAATTCCATCTTGCTTGTACATTCTTAAATCTATGATGTATATGTTTTAGCTATAAATAAACAAGAAGAAGAATTTCTGTTGCTAAATAAGGGGAGATCAACGATCCGGTTACCTTTCCAACCATTTGGAAGAAATATGGGTATACCAATACAGATGAGTGGAAATCAAGCAATCGGTAAGAACTAAAAAATTGTCTAGGCTATAGCTGAATTCTATTTTATCTGTCTTTGAGATATTTAATAAAATACTTCTCCTTATAAAAAGTACTCAATCCTTCGTAGGTGAGATTTTTCCATGGGTAATGGAGTATACTAAGCTACTCACATACTACTTTAAGATTAGCCTTGGTTTATGGATCTATGGCATGAGTACTGTCACCGAGGTGCGGTGAAAGATATAATTTTAACCATCTTTTCTATCTACTTCTGTCTCATCCTTGAATCCTTTCATATGGAGCAATTCTTCTGTCTATCGCATTATTAAATTATTATTTTCATTTCTTTCACAACTTGCTGAAGCTTCTCTCTCTATACACATATATTTACTAAACACTGCCTTAAGGAATACACCAGCAGGTTGCTGATAAAATGAAGATCTTATATATATATATATTTAAAATATATAATCTCTGCATCTATAAATATTAACTGTACATCATACTGCTGAAATTGTTGAACATATTTTCATAACAGCTGCACCATAGGTTGGAAATATGCAGCCTCGAGACTCTATGTGGCCCCTGATGGTGTATTTGCGATATCCGTGAATTTTGTTGTATCTTTTTATCTCTGGTATTAATTAATTATATAAATTATGACAACATAAAAATTAAAATGTATATATATTTTTTTTTTTTTTTTTTTTTTTTGTTCACCCCTACCTTGCCTTCATAGACTATACAGAAATTTTCCCGGGTCAGGGGAGATGGGAGGAGATTATTGCTAGAGATAAAAGCTTTACCTTTAGAGATAAAAGTTTCTTATTAATCATGTGCCAAGCAACACGTATTCTGCACATGGGTTAGCTCGCTTGGCCACCCTGCCTCTATAACATGTATTGTTCATTATCAATATTGTTCAATATCCATACCTAAAGAAACAAAATACTGGCAGTGAAATATTAACAAATTAATGGCTCCTCTCATCACTGTCTAACCTAAATTAAGCCCCTTTATTACTTCTTAACCTAAATGTAGTCTCTAATTATAAAAAGGTTCTCCATCTATGATCTATGCAGATGATACATATCATGATGAAGTTTTCATCTTCTAAATTACGCAAAATCCAATCACATCTCGTTTACATTATAGTGAAATAAGCTTCCATCAGTCAGCAACAACTTCATAACACAAACAAAACACAACCAACAACATAAAATATCGTAGTAAGAATATAGACCAGACATTCAATGATAAGAACTTAAATAAGATTGTAGAGTGAAGCAACATTCATAAATTCTAAATTGTGCCGACAAAAATACTGAGAATAATTCTACTTGCACCAGAGTACATTTTCAAGTACATAATCTTCACCAATTTAAAGATAAAATTTGTTCAACATTCTTAGTACTTTAACATTAAATACTACGATTTCCATTTCTTAATCCTATGCTAGTTCCATTCATGAGTTCATTCTATCCTAATATCATTTTATTTAGAAACTGATGAGTATGTTAAGTTACATTGTCTTAAACTAAGCCTAACTAATGACAAAGCAATCAGTTTTAGTGTATATATTAATAGCCATTGTATTATTTTATGCACCAACATTATTAATGATTTTTAAAATTGAGCATGATGAATAATCAGGATTTGGAGTCTTTATTTGGTTTATTAGGCTTACCAAAACATGCATAAGATACAATTTTTTTATTGTTTGCCCTGATGACAAACATGCTTGGGTCGAAACATCAGCAAGCCTAGTAAACCACATGGAGATTGCAAATCTCCATAGTATTGTTTTCATAATTTTTCATAAAACTTGATCTTCATAATTTTAACAGTAAACTATATATCCATCTCTAGATTTTTAAAATTATTAAATTTTCAAGATGATAGATGTTGACTTCCACTTGCTAAGCTCACTTAATAGGTTTAGGTAATTACACGTTTTACTTTCTTGATACTTTCTTTCTTGGGAAGCAACAGGAGAAATTTTGGTGTGTATGTGGAGACTTGAGGTTTGGTTGAAAGCCAAGTGTGTGGGAGAATCTGCACCTGTTCTTACTCCTACCAGGGTTTATCATGTTAAATTAATATTAGTGATTTTTAAATATTAGAAGTAGTTTTATTATATATATAAACTATCAAAATTATATTTTTTTAGGGATTGCAATTGATTGCTTGGAAGGAAGAGTTTATTCAAGTATTTTGAATCAAAAAATCAAAAGTTTTAAGTATGATGGTAGCGATTCCAAAGATTTTGTTATTTCAGGTGTGTATAATAATATTTATTTAAATTTTTAAAATTGTCAATTTTTATATTATTCTACAATATGCATTCCTCATTTGAACATATTTCTATTATTCCTATTGAATGCTATGTTTAAAGGTAATTAAGCCAATGTTGTATGCTATTAAGGTAATTAATACATCCATGAAAATCATCTTATTATTTTTTGAAATGGTTGGTATCCATTAGTGTTGTTAGGATATTGGGTGCGACCAATGGGTTAAGTGGTCTATTTTTTTTTTTTTTTACTACTTTAATAAACAGTTTTATATTTCAATTGCTTATTAGGAGTGAAGTCTACTGAGGGTCTTGCTATTGATTGGATAAACCGTGTACTCTATTGGACTGAATCAAATCCACCTACCATTAATTCTGCAAGTCTAGATGATAAACAAATCAATAATGTTATTACAAGTGGTTTGGATAATCCGAGAGGAATTGCTGTTCATCCCCAATGGAGGTAAATATGGTTTCATAATTTTCTCGGAAGGTAGAAATTTTATAAATCAATTGATTTATTAAAAAAGTGAATATTGAATTTTTGATAATTGTTACAATACGTATAAGTTTAAATGGAGGGGGAAGAAGTATGATTTGAATAATATACTTAAGACGGAATTACATATTATACAACTAAAATTTTTATTTTTCATTTTATTTCATATTTTAAGTGGCAATGGTATTTCTATGTATGCATCTATGGCCATTATTAATAATCCAATTCTATTTCTATATTTACAGGAAAATATTTTGGTCTGATTGGTACCGAAGAAATCCCAGAATAGAAATGGCTGATTTAGATGGTGGAAATCGAGAGGTCTTAGTGCAGAGTCCACATGTTAAAACACCCAACTCTTTAGCAATTGATTGGGATTCTAATGAAATTTGCTGGGCAGATGCAGATCTTAAAAGAATAGGTTAGTCTTTTTTCATTTAAACATGGTATAAATATTTTTTATATCAATCCACATGTTTTAACTAAAGTCTAATGAATAAATATTAACTATCAACATATTATAATACATGAAAATGCTGAGCTTATGGATCTCAAAGATGACAATGACATCGTAAAGATCAGATGTTAACTTTCCTTCCCCCTCCCCTAAAAATATTATTGCCATAAATTGCAGGAAGGATTTGTTAGTATATATTTATTTATATATATTAATTATTTTTTATATAATTATATACAATTGGTCTCATCACAGTAAAGATTCTTGTGGATTTTTAGTTATGACATATTACATTTATTTTTTTGTTTTACTGTTTAATTTTAGAATGTTTCGACTTTCTACAAAGGATTGAGCGAACTGTTGTACAGAATTGTCTTTATCCTTTTGGATTGGCAATCACCTCAGACACTTATTATTGGACTGATTGGTCAACGTGAGTATAGCAGATAATTATTTTAATTTTAAACTGTTGTTACTGATAGTATTTTGTTTCAAAATTAACATAAAAAAAAGGATTTAATTTATCTTATTCCATTGCATATTTTTTTCTCAATAACTTATTTATAAAATAATATATTTCAACTTGATGGCTTCAAGTCATAGAAATGCAAAAATGAAAACTCATGAGACTGATCATTCATTTAATCTTATATTGTCTATTGTAGAACTCCCATATACATTGATTGGTTGTTGGGTAATTACTGTAAATCTCATAAGTCAACGATTGATGGTTTGTTTTCCTTAAATTACTGCCTCTTACCAGTGTTTATCACAACTTTTTCTGAAAACACTTGAATAATTTTATTCAAGTTAAAAAAACAATTAATTAATAAATCACTTTTCACTGTTTTTCATCAAAGAAAGCTATTAACTAAACAAGCTGTTGATCAAACAAAAACTATCCTAGGGGTTTCTATTATTTTTATCTCTGCCATCTAAATTACCACCCTGAAAAACTAGATCAAATTGGAATAAAATTAAAATTAAATAGGGACATATGAGTTTCTGTTTTTATAGTATTTTAGAGTTTCTAGTGTAGTAAAATTAGCCATGATTATTTTTGTAAACATCAGTAAATCTCTCACTTCATTTTTTAAAAAATTTTTTGTACGTTTTGTATGTTTACAGTCGAAAGGTAGAAAGTTCGAAAAAGGGTAGCGGTACATTGACAAGATCAATACCTCTTCCCATAGGAGGTGATGACAAATTATATGGGCTTGCTGCTGTTACATCAACTTGCCCAAGAATATAAATTAAAAACAAAAAACAACCTAGTGGTTCTACTTGAGATTAACGTATAATAAATAAACCATATAAATATATACATATTTATGTATACATAATATATATATATATATACAATAACATATGTATATTATATATATAATGTATGTATGTATGTATAACATATATATATGTATTTGTAAACGATAAAGAAGATATTTTTTCTTTAAGTTCTTGTGAGATACCAAGATAATTGAAATTAAAAAAAGAAAGAATAATTGTAAGTAGTAAGTAGTTGTAGGTTTTGAAATTAGATTTTATATTCACTGTTAATATCTTCACATTCAATTATTTTTAGTTTACACTCAATTTATAGGTAAGAGAGTTTCGAATTAACTAAAATAGACAGACTCATTTGTACAATTTTTTTTTTTCAAAAGCCAAAATTATTTACTATTTAACAGTAGATAAAACTAATTAAAGAGAAATAAGACTATATTTGTTTTATGATTTATATAAAATGTATAAATTCTCTCAATTTTTTATTTATATTTAAGAATTAGGTACTTGTAAGTATTTTTGTATATGAAAATAAAATCTCTATTTATAAAGTTGTTTCTCTATGTATTTTCAGCAACAGTTTTCTTATGCACACTGTAACTTTAACTTAAAATTTCCTTTTGTATATACATTGGTCTCATGTTCAGCTAATCTTTGGTATCTGTTTTACTAAGTGGACGAATAGATGCCATGTTGATTACCTTAAAAAGAAAAACAAGTTTTTAGGATATTACAGATATACTTATTTCATTTTCATAAAGTTAATTATTGATTTTCATAAAATTAATTAGAGAGATATAGAATATAGAATTCATAAAAGATGATTTGAATCACCCAAAATAATTTTAAAAAAATGTTTTATTTAAATATATTTTAGTTTAAATTAGTGTTGAAAATTAAATTTAAAATATCTGGTGTGAACATCACACAACTTTCACGAAAAGAAATTATTTTCTGGCAATATTGGGCTCTTGCAAAATTTTTGAAGAAATCATCTTTAAAATAACAAAAACCCTATTTATTATATCCATGGTAGGCAATAAAAACCACGTAACTCGATCTGATTTTGTAAACAATATAACTCAAGTCCCTGAGCTATATATGCCTAGAGAGATTTGAAAATAATTCTGTATATTTAACCTATGAATGATTATGGATTGTATGACTATTAGTTATTAAACTCATGAGTCATGAGATTTTCATTACCTGTCGTGGATAGGTAAAAAATTTTCAAATTTTTGTGAGTGGATAATGTTGGGATTTCACAAAAAAAAAAAAAAAAAAAAAGGTCATCAAATTATTCACTAGTTTAATATTTTAAAATTTTATGTGATGAAGTTTTGGAAGAAACTGATGATAGAAAAACTCAGATTTGAAAATTTTCACGATTGCAATACTTTTCCTCACTATATATGACATATATAGATAAGTGAAAGTTCGCAGACCAATGGAGTCGCCTCTCTGTAGGTTTTGTGGTCAAGAGGATGAAGCAGCATATCATACCACTTGTTGGTGCAACAGGTTTCCTAGTCTAAGGTTCTGTTTATTCCGTAATGATAGGTTGTTAGATGAGCTTGTCAATCCAACAAGTCTTCTTCAGTTTGTAGAAACTGCTGGAATAATGCTCTGATTAAGAGCTAAAGAGCTACACTAATTAGGTCCTTCTTGGCCGCAGTGCATTTTACCGTAAGGAAAAAAAAAGTGAAAGTAAAAACAATATGAATTTGATTGATGGATATTTTATTTATCATACTGTATCACAAAATTAGCTTCTAATATAGTTTTAAAAAATTCTTTTTTTACGTTTGACATGGATATCTCTCTGAATGTATTACCATTGGATACATAATTCAAAAACCATTTGGTAAAATCTTGGCGGACACAGCTTGCCATTGTACCACTATATTCAAAATTCAATTACATCTTGATAGATAAAGTGATTAGTAGACAATCAATTAATTAACTGGGAGAGTGTGGCCAAGTAGCATAATGTATGTGCAAAACACGGAATGTCCGGTAAACTAATAAACCGAAGTTTACATGATAAAATAATTATGAATTTGTGTTGCGGTGCCGGGAAAAGAGGGCTTTTATTATTATTATCACTATTGACTCTTGGTGGAACATAGGGAATCTCCAAGTGCGTTCCATTCCGCTCTTATTGCAATTATCATTTTTGCTTTTGGCCAAGTCTTGCTAGACCAGCTCAGGTCATTTTGTACAGATATCTAATATGTTTGTCCAGTTCTTCCTCTTCTTCTTGTTTGTTGGTGATCCCATTGAAGAACTTTTTTTTTATGGCACTTTCTGTTTTCCTTAAAATGTGCCCAAACCATTTCCATTTCTTTTGCCTTATTTCGAGGTGGATTGGAAATTGTTCTGTAGTAATCCAGAGATCTTCCTTAGAGATACTCTCAGGTCACCAGCTTTCCAGGATTACTCGCAAGTAGCAGTTGATGAAGGTCTGAAGAGGTTGTTTAATGATCTCAGTCACCTTCCATGTTTCGCTTCCGTAGAGCAGAACTGATATTAAATTGGTATTAAACAACCTTATTTTTGTTTTATTGCACAATTTCTTGTTCTTCCATTTTGAATAGAGTTGAATGAACACTCCATTTGTTTTTTGATTTGGTTTTTAACATCTTCCAATGAGCCTCTTTCTTTAGTGAACATGCTTCCCAAGTAGATGAATGATTCCACCAACTCTACAGTGTTTCCTCTCAGAATAAGTGGATTCCGACATAACTCGTTGTTGAGATCTTAAATCTCTTTCTTAGGCTCCACTGTCTTCGACCCCCAAGCATAGCTCTCATGGTGCTGTCAAGAACGTTGATGAAGAAATTAGGAAAAAGCAGACATCTTTGCTCCACTCCAGTCTCAATCCTGAATGGGTTCGACAGGAAGAAGGGCTTTTAGCTTTGGTATTAATTAATCTCCTTTTTTCTCCTCTCACCTGGGAAAAACCCTGTATAGCTGAAAAGGCGATGAAGGAGATAACTCAGGGTACAAGGATTTAATTAATAAGAAGCAATAACAATGATAATCACACAATATAATTATCATCCTAATAACACAATTATTACATTTATTATTTACATACAATAAATATTAAAGGAATCGAACCATATTAAAGACTATATTTAAAAAAATAAATAGTATAGCATGATTCAATATTATACAAAGACTTAAATAGGAATTTGACTTCTAAGTTTCTTTTTATTACTTATAATTTTCCTTTCGTTCATCAAATATAGTATTAAAAACTACTCAAACTAGGTAAAAATAATAATTCAAGGTTCACAAATATCTCAGGACATTGTCTTCGCATGAACATATAGCAAAAACTATTCCTTCCTGTGCTTCCATTTTATTTAGTGTGCTTATCACACTTTGTGCTTCACTTCTAACATATCACAAATATCACATACATTTATCCCAATACAGATTGGACACATAAATGTAATAAATACATAACTTATCCAGATACATTTCACTTCTACTAGATAACAAAAATAGGTACTAACAGCTATTATGGGGTCACATATTTATCTACTCAATAAATCTTTCTTTCACATTAACAGTATTTATGGTTCCCTGAGATGAGGTTACATTGTGACATATGTGGGAACTTTGTTACAAGGTCTTTTTTTCTTCCATTTTTGAATTCTCGCTAAGAGCTAAGCAACAGAAATGATACTTGCAGTAGTAATCAATATTTGACATCCAAGGTATCATTTATATTGGTGGTTCTAGCTGGGAAATTAAAAAAAAATATGAGAAATCAGATCTTGCCACAATGTTCTCTGATCTGTTATGTGTTAACCCCATCATCGGGTATGTTATCAAATGGTTAATATTTACAAATAAATATAGGAATTTCCTTTCTCAGGATTACTTATGAATATTATGTAAGTATTATTTAAAATATAATGTATTGCCATCAATACAATTTATAAACTTGATTGAATTATTGACAAAGAAGATTTGAAGATGTATTAAATTTCTAAAATTGAAAAATTAATTATAGACAATAAAAATAAATAATAAAAAAAAATCAAAATTTTAAATATTTCTTCTGATATTTTAAACTTGGGAAACATCGATCCTCTACCTAACAAGTATTGAAGTTATTACTACTGTTGATAGTGTAAGAACTATTTTTAATCTAATTTTATTAGATATATATTTTTTCTTTTTTTTTTTAAATACATTTTATTACTATTTAGTTGATTAAATCTGGAATGACAATTATGGGTTTCATATGTATTAGAAGCATGCAAGTTCATCTTTTGTTGAATCTATACTCAGATCTTATGATTTTATTCCATGTCAAAAAATTTACCATCTTTGTATTGTATGAAAAAAGTTTCGTACTGGACTGCAATAAATGTTCGAGTAAATTTTGATGATATCTGAACCCATTTATTTCAACTTATGTAAATATAATTTTTCCACTTGCTTCAATTTATTGAGATGTTGGTGGATATTTGAAAAATTAACATTTCAAATTACTAAAATGAAAAAAAATTAGAATAACATATAACAAGTCATACTTTAAAAATGGTCATACGGTAAGACTTATATTTGCCAGAGATTTATATTTTCAATAGAAATATTTCCCACTATACCAAATTTTTTATATGAAAAAGTCAAAAAATATTTTATGATAATGTTGCTTCCAAATTTAATTTATTTTACCAAATACCGTTAGCCTGAAATATTTTTAAGTTTAGTAAATTATGAGAGCCCTATATATAAAAAAAAGAAAATAGTGTTTATGTATCTTCATAAAATGGATAGTTTTTAAGTGGCATGGTATTAAAAACCTGATGTGACTTCTGGAGTAAACAAAATTATGGCATTTTACTGATACTTTTTATAGTGAAGATAATTAAAATTAGATAGTTAATTCCAATTTCCCTAACATTTTTTAGTTTTAATGGAATGTTTTCTTGAATTCTTCAGACTTTTCGGTTATACTTTTCTATATGAAAAACAATCTCAGACTTGGATTACACTCAACAGATTATAGTAGCATCTTGTAATTTATAGTTAGTCTGGCTTATAGCTCTCAATTTCATCTAAAGTAATCTTTGGGACATTCAAGATGTTACCAAATTTAATATTAATCA